CGCACTGTTATGATCCAATACAATTATTATCTTATAGAAGAAACAATACTTGTTTGAATTATAAAAGAAAAAAACAAAAATCTCCCAACGACGTGGCTGAAAATCTTTCTAATATTCATATTTATCTACATGGAGAAAAATGGAAAAACGAATAAAATAACTTTTACTATTTTAAATATATAGTAAAACCTAAACTGTTCGGAGTTTTTGCGCATTTCTGATAATTTTTACTCCGAAAATAGTAAAATCTACTGCTGAAATAGTAAATTTTACTATTTCTAAAGTAAAAATTGAAAGAAATGCGCAGAAACTCGAGACAGTTTCGGTTTTACTTTTACAGTGTATAAAGTAAAAATTACTTTATTCGTTTTTCCATTTTTCTCCGTGTCCGGAACGTTAGGACGTGCCAATTTGAAAACAAAAATCTTTAAATTTGTCCGGTAATTCTTAGAATTACAAAAAGAAAATGTATTTCTTTAATTGTTTATGGAATTAGCTCTTTAAACTTAGAATCAATATTCCAAATTTAAATCAGTATTTCGTAGGAATTTAATCACAATCACTTTAGTAACATTTTCATTAAAATTTAGTAACATTTAACTGGGAAATCATTTGATTTATTACTGATTTAAACAGTCAAATCTACATTACCATTAATAGGTAAAACAGATTTAAAGGATTAATCAGTAAAGAATCTTAATAATTTTCAGTTAAATACAAAAACTGAATTTCAATGGGAATCTTCAGTTGCTAAATTATTTCTTCAGTGAAATCTCTCTGATTCAAATTTAGAGAATACCTTAAAAAAATGGTTACAAAATCGATTCTGAATAATTGATTTAGTAAATGATCATTAAAATTCCAAATCTAAACATTTATTCTAGATATTATTTTGCTGTTAGAATTTCAAAATTAAATTTAGTATTATGTTATAATATTGAAAATTAATTTAAAATTATCTATAACATTGATATTAATTGGATGTAAAGATATGTGTTAAGCTTCTAACTTTTTTTTTTTTTTTTTTTTGCATAAGTGCGTATATGATTTCCAGACGGAAGACGATGGGAGTGGTACAAGTAATTGGATGAAGGAACCAGTAATTGCGTCGTTATGTAATTAGCCAGTTCGTTCAATATAGTACGGCTTAATTCTACCAATTCGGTTTTAAACGTTGTTTGCCTTTATAATGTGGATTTCTCAACAAATTTGATATCCGCCTTCAAAAGAAAAAAAAAATACTATTAGAAGCATTTTCTTCGTTGCACTCTCTGCTAGTCTTTTATATCTTTAACAATACACTATTTCAATGAAATTGTAAATTAATATAATTATATCATAAATTAATACTAAAATTTTAATTTTATAAAAATTTTTAGTATTCTAATTTTATTTTACTTTATTTTCATATACAATTTACTTTTACAGAATAGTTATTTTAAAATTTTTAAAATAATAAATTTTATATATTATTTAAACCGTCAATATCATATTTGATTTATGTCTTTTATTTTACGTTAAAATCATAAATTCTAGAGAAAAAGCTTTTTGATAGCCTTTTTCTTGGAAAATAAGAGACTTTAGTCCTGCGGGGGTTGAGTTTTAAAAAATTCATTTCTCAACGAGTGCTCTGTTGACTGACATTCATAACCAACTGGTTATTTGAAAGAAAAAGAAAATTATTCCTTTATATAAGGGGGATAATTTGAATGCTATTCTAATAAGATATCAAACACTTTAAATACATAATGACATAAGAAAACATAATTTCTATTTGATTGATATAGAAAAAAAAATGAAATTTTATTTAGTTGAATAAATGAAAGTATTTTCATAATAAAGTAGCTAAAAAATTCCGACTTTTAAATTCAGCAAAAAGTGATGCAATATTTTTTTGAAAAATGACAGCTTCAAAAATTCAGCAACGACCTTTTCTATCTCACTTTATAATAATTTTTCAATATTTGAAGAAACATTTATATTTTATAAAGTAAATAATAAATATTAAATATTGTAAATAAAAACTAAATAAAAAAAAAATTTGTTTAAATACTACAATAAATATTAATTGAAAATTACATAATAGAAAATGTGAGGAAAACTCTATAGGAGATGATGTCACTAGTTGAAAGCGTTGGATCGATGTCTGAATCACGTGTTCGACGTTAAACCGTGTCTCTGATTCGCGAACTCGCCTAGCAACAGTGAATTATTATACTATATATAGATAGATAAAATTTGAAAAAGTTTTTTTTTTTTTAAACACTAGCACTTCACTTTTGCTCTTTTCTCGCTCGCAAAAACATATTTCAGAGTAATTTTCCATATTCAACCATTGTTCGAAATGTATCCTTCATTTTCAATTTTTTTCAAAAAACATTCTATAATTCGTCAATGAAAAATATTGTCTTTTATAAAATAATAATTAAAATATAAAAAGGGAAAAATTTTATTTAAAAATTAGAAAAACGTTTCAGAAAATAAAAATGAATTGATATTTAAATAATTTATTTATCGAATTAAAAAAGCAATTGGTAAAGCAACAAATACGACAAGAATTACGTTGTTATTTTTTTAATTGCTTGATTTATTGGAAAGAAATAAAAAAAAAATAATAATAAATTAACCGTAATTATCTGACATATTAAGATCCTTTGTGTTTTTTGCCTCAATGTCAAATTGCATTGGCCATGACACCAAAAGAGGAAACCTATTATCGAACCCTCGTATAATTTGTTATCTATTGAGTATCGTTTTTCACCCAATCCATCCAATTGAGAGCCTACACGACTGTTAATTGTACAGAACGTCGGGGGAAAGAAAAAAAAAAAAAAAAAAATTAAAACTCGTTTGATTGAACGCCAACGCTTTTGACTTTAAAGTGCAATACAATCGACTTTTAGTAAGTATCAAAATTCCATATAATATGAATTTCCAACGTAAGAAAGATCGTTGCGTTCTTATCGTATTACGCTTTAGTAAGCAATGTTCCAACATGGTGGGGAGAAAAAAGAGTGGGGGGAAGGTAAAGTACAATTTAACTGTTACGTTTCTAGCTACTCGTTACTTTTACGCTTTATCGAGTTGAGCTTTTATTATCGAATGTTTATCGCTCACTGTAAATTTCTATGGGCATTTAATGAAAGACGATCTTTTGGATTAAAAGGGAATTGAATTTCATTGAAACACAAATGGTAAATAAAAGAACGAGTGCCACTTTCAGCTACACTAGTTGTTCAAATTAACATTTTTTTTTTTTTTTTTTGTGCACGAAACAAAAATTCCCCATTTCACATAAATATTATTTTATTCAACATTTATCAGTTTACTATTAATTTCAATTTATCTAATTGAATTGTAATTATTGAAGAATTAGATAAATTACAATTGAAAGAGATAAATTTTCTACTCTAAAAATCGAATTCATTTATTCCCTTAAAGAATCAACAATAAAATGAATTAGAACTTAACAGTTTAAAAAAAAAAAAAAAATTGAGATTAAATGCTTCAATAAAATTAAGCTAATTACCGCCATTAAGTTAATTACAGTTTCCATTGTAGAATAAAAATAATAGAACTGAAGATTTACATATTTGAGATACCTTCAACAGTTAGTCAAAGATTTATTCCCAAGAGCAAATTTCCTGAGGCAACAGTAATTTTGACTTTATAACTTTCTGGAATGTTTTCCCAGTTTCATAAAGTGATCATCTAATTATTAAAATAGTTTCTTACACTTTACTAATTTATCTACTTGAAAATTATGTTAATACTTTAATGTTATTGTTATAAAGCTTAACTTTTGCCTAAAGACATAGAATTACAAAATAATCAAATTATATTTGCAAAAAATTATAATTTTTCTTGTACTATTTTTAAATCAATTTTTTCTTTTATCAAAAAAATTTTTATTTAAAAAAAAAAAAAAAAATGTTAGTGAATTTAAACACAACTTGTGAATTAAATGTGTTATTTTGAATTTATGTACAATTTCTATTTGAATTCCACTCAAAGATATTCAGTATTGAAATTGTAAACGAGGTGCAAGTTAAATTCGCCGAAATGCATTTGTCACGCTCAAAGGCCCGCGTGTGGAGTTAAATCGCAGAAGGCAATCGTTTGTCAAAGGTATTTCCATTCCAAATTTAACGCCAGTATCCAAGCAACGATCAGTCAGCAAAAAAAAAAATTTTTTTATTGTCATTAATAGCAAATCTAAATTAAAATTTTTTATCCTTTAAACACTTGTTTAATGTCATGAGTTAAAAATCCAATAAACCGCAAACATTTTTAGTAAACACAAGGGAAAAAAGAATAAAATAAAAATAATAAAAAAGAAAATATTTAGAAATAAAAAATTTGAAAAAAAAAAATTATTCCAATAAATTTTGTCCATTACTATTTTTCATTATTTGATTAATATTCGAAAAGACTAATTGTTGCAAACAGGAAATATCTAAAAGATACAACACAAAGTGGCGAATTTAACTTGCAGTTGAAATTAAATCTCGACCTTTTCATTTTGAAGGCGTTTCTACTTCAAAAGAAACCAAATGGAAGATTAAAATTGTACTCCATAACAATTATAATTGAAAAGTAATGAAATTATTTTTGTTCCCATAAATTTTAATTTCGATTATGCATATATAAAAATCGATACAATAACTATAATAGAAAAAACCTGGACGCATTTTTTTTGCAGTTCAAAACGACAAGAACGCCACCTACTTGACACATTTTTGTTGCACTTGAAAATAAGTAACGTGAACGTTACTCATTTTAAGTTTTTTTTGTGATGTCTAAGTCGAAAGCAGAATATCGATAATCGAACAATAAAGTTCTATTTCACACTACATTATCGACAGTTGGTAAAAAAAAAAAAAATTGACAATAAGTGTTGAAAACTTTTTTTTCTAAGAGAGAGTTTTTAAAAGAAATTTCAAGATTTTAATTAAAGGTCAAATATGTTGGCTGAATGGTATAAAAGGATCGGAGAGCATCGATCACGCGATCAGTGTAGCACGACGACAAATGAGCGTCGCACGATCCAATAATCGTGCCATATTAACTGGGGCCCATCCCAAGTGTATAAAAGATGTCCCAATTGGAATCGAACCTCAGTGTATCATACGAAAAGGACATGTCAACGTCGAAGAGCAGTTCTTTATTGAGACTCAATCAAGAGGGCCGTGGGGCCAACGATTGGCAGGACCACGACACAGACTCAGAGATCAGCGAGAACGAGTTTTTGACGAAAGGTGCTTTTCTACTAACGCCCAGCCACGATCTCAGCATGGAGAAGGCGGCGACCATTTGCGAGAAAATGAACTTCCGGTGAGAGAATTTCTACGCGGTAGTGCGGAATGTGAACCAACCTCGTCAACCCTTTCCATTTTCTCCACCTCTTGTCATCCTATATATATATATATATATATATATATATATACTCATCCCTTTAACCGAGCGTTCTTCTTTCTCCCAAATATCTTTCTCTTACTCTCCTTTCTCTCTCTCTCTCTACAGACGCCCTTCACGAACCACTATCACACCGGAGTTCTAGGAATTTTATATTCTTTTCCTCTGTCACGTTCAACCCTTTTTCTCTCAGTCTTTCTTTCTCTTTATTTCTATCTCTCTGCCTTCGTGCATAAGTGGTCCCACTTTCTTGGAAGATCGTTTCCCGAGGTCGCTACCTCTATGTATACCTCAGACATAAGGCTCAGGAATACAAGGGTGAAGATAAGGGCTTCGAGATTGCAGTTCCTTTGGTAAAATTCTTTCTTTTCTACGACATATATATATATATATATATATATATATATATATATATATAATATATATTTTTTCTACCTCAAAAATCGATGAGATGAGAAAAGATTAACGAAAGAAAACTTTTTTCAACACAATTATTGTTTCAATCAATATATTAAAAAAAAAAAATAACCTAAAATTAAAAATCCTTGCTCATTATCACTAATTGCAACAATCATATATATGTTATTGAATATTAATAACATCAAATTTCACAATTCAATTGACAAAGAAGAGTAAATAATAATTAATAAAACTTTATTTGATATCATTATTTGAACTCTTCACCTAACTGAAATTCGTACTTTATTGGTTATTATAATTGTTTGTATGATTTCATTAAAACCAGAATCGTTAATTTCAATGATAAATAAAACGCGGTAACAGTTTACAGTGACATTCTCGCTATAAAAAAATCGAGGGGTTTTTTTTTTTTTTTTCTTCGTTAATTAGAAAACAAAATTACAAGTTTAAATTTTACCGAAAAATTTTAACAATCCTCGTTATTAAACTTTCATATTGATTCACATTTTGAAATGTGCGCCTCTCAAATTATTACAAAATCCGTTCAACTGTCTGAAACAGTTACAATTAATTCCAAAGTTAGTGGTTAAGATTATGTATTCAATTCGGGAAACAGTAAACAGTACTGAGATGAAATTCCCAATTACAAAGCCATACTTCCGCCAAAGAAATATAGCAAATAATAATAATAATCAAGAGAATATGAGAAATTGTCAGTAGTTTTCTAGAATAAAAAAAAAAAGCTTTCAATATACTAGAAAATAATTTAATAAAATTCTAACATTTCTGCAAAAGAAATAATTAATAATGGACGAAAATTTGAGTTTCTAATGTCTCGTTATAAAGTGCCATTAAGGGGTCAACGAATGAAATTCCTTCAAGTATTAATTTTAAATTACCCAACGTTTTTAAGGGTGTCGTTAAAATTCTTGAGATATCTATCTCACTTTGAGGAGTTTTCAAGGATTATTCGACTTCTCATGATGCAGTCATTAAATGGTTCGTAAACCACATTCGGTTCACCCATTCACTCAAAATGTTCATTATGCAAAGTAAATTTGTTTTTTTAAAATGTTTTTTTAAATTACTTTTTTAAATTATTTTTTAAATTGTTTTAAAAAGAAAAAAGAAGACACAATAAATTAAGAAGATAATTACACAAAATTGTAAACACAATTAATAAATTACAAAATAGTATGGTAAAAACACACGAGAATAAGGTATAGAAAGCAATGTGAAAAGTCGAAAAAAAAACTTTTTGAAACGAAAAACGAAGAATTTAACGATAAATGTTGACTTTTATAGTGGCGCTTTTTCCCTCACGAAAACGGCTACAGGAATTTTATTCAAGTTTAGTAACATCGACGATTATCAGGCGGTTTACAAGAAAGGTTTTCACAAGGTCACTGGAGCTCGATTTTACAAAAAAGTAAGTTTTCTACCAAAAAGAAAAATAAACTCAAGATTAATGGAGAAAGTGATAAAATTTCATTTTACTAAAAATGATATTTTATTTTCAAATTTTTTTTTTTTTTGAAATAAAAGAAAACTAGTAAATGAAATTTTTTTCGAAAACTAAATATTTCAATAGATATTTAAATAATGTGAAACGATAAAATAAAAATTGTGATTACAAAATTGTATTAAATAAATATTATTCTGAGGCATTTCAAAATTTGTCTACGATTCATAACACTTTTTTTTTATCTCAACATAAAACCATAATTCATTTAAAACTACTAATAGTAAATCTAATTTTTAAAAAAAATATATATAAAAAAAAAAATAAATTATTCATCCAAAACTTTTTTGTAAAAATATTCGAGTGACTATTTTTCTCTATGATTTCTTATATTTTAAAGAAATATCTGTCAATATAAATTTAAACGAATGATTTCCGAGTGGGAATAAGCTGTAGGAAATAATTTTGTCTGGTTCCTTAGGTTGCCATACCGTGCAGACCGGCGAAGACGTTTACGGTCTACGTGCTGGATGTACCCGAGGAAGTACCGGAAGACGACATCAGGCACGCCCTGTACAAGTATCGATCTATCGTCGAAGTAACGAGACTGCCTCTGCACACCGGAACTGTGCGTGAGTAGACACTTCAAGGTAGATCGAGCACGAAGTAAAATGTGCATCTCCTGTCCATTACGATTATTATCATTTCAAGGCAATGTCTAACTGTTCCAAAAATACACCCACAATTTTCATTCACCTAATTTACCCTCAGTGATGTGGAAAAATATCCCAAAAAAAAAACAATTAGTCGGAAAACATTTTATAATATATTTAAAAAAAAAAATTTTATTCAAAAATTGAAATTACAGAATTTAGTTTTTTTTTAAAAGTGTTTTAACTCTAAGGTAAATTATCGTTTTAAGATTTGTAACAAGTTTTAAGCGAATCCGATAAATTTAAATGAATTATCCGCTATTTTAAATATCTAACTTTAGATTCACAAATAGTGATCGAAAAAAAAACACCAAGTAACAAATTTCAATCGAATGCGATAAAATATCCGCCATATTGGATCACATATAATTCAGACTCTAAAGGGTTAAAACATTTTCGATCAACTAAATTGAATTTTTCTTTTTTTTTTAAAAAAAAAAGAACTTTAAATTCTGTAATAAGAATCATTGCAATTTATTGTAGTGAAGGCCATTAATGACAAATTGAGAGGCGATGCCCTAAATTTCAACGAGCCAGCCACTATTTACACAGGACCACCGGTAATAAGAGTTACCCTAGCTAGTGTGGAGGAGACCTCGTTGTTACTGAGCCGGGGTTTGGATTTTTATGGGGCCACATATTTCCCAACTGAAACACCCCATCCTGCGGCTCACACCCTCGCCAAATATAAAAACAACAGGTAGGAAACGAATTCTTTTCAGTGTATACTCGTGAGAAATTTTTCCTCATAACATAATTACAATATTCAACATTTAATAATTCATTTGGAATTTTTCATTTAAATTCTTGAAATATTTTTAAACACAATTTCTTTAAAGCTATAAAACCACTAAAAAAAAAAACACACAACGAAGGAAAATTTTGCTTAAATTAAACTAAAATTGTCAGCAATATTGAATAAAATTTAATATTCAGTTCATAAGTGACATTTTTTTTTTTTTTGTATCAACAGGAAGGTAAGATGTGTTTTGAAGTAAAAGTTAACGCGTAAATCAGGTCTTGTTCAGTGGAAAGTGCCATTTTGTGAAATATGCTACTTTATAAATCGTTTGGGGAAAAGTTTGCCATTGGAAAAAGAATTCTAAAAGGGAATGTTGATAGGCCTTAGAACGCAGAGTAAGTAGCGGGAAGATATCGTCCCTGGCATCGAAACGAGCACCGTAAACTGATTTTACGAGCGTAACTAAACCGAGCATGCGAGTCGTTACCAGTGTAGGTACTTAAGAGAAGATAGCTGGCATAGTCAACTAGTAACTTAAATTGTACCGTAAAGTCTTTGATCGTGATATACTTCCAGCTGAATCCGCGCCGAACAATCGAATTCTGCCCCGCAGTATATATTGTTGCCGACCAATGAAAATGATACTTAATTTCCTTCGAAACAATATAAGAGAGAAAGTATAGCTTGACAAACTTTTGATGCAGTCAATTAAAGTCTACTACAAAACAAGAAAATAGAAAAGAAATAATCTGTTCAATTCAAATAGATAAGAAAATTAGAATGAATATTCACATTTTTTTTTTTTTAGTTTTTGAATATTCAAATAATTTTAAAGATGATAATTACAAAATTTTATGAAAAAAATTTACAGGAAGAATATAAAAAAAAAAAAAAATTATGATTTGTTATCATTATATTGCAGATGGGCGGAACTAGCATCGCTTGGAGCTGGACAACGTGTAAGAGATCTACTTCCGGTTTTCGACAACGCGGGGTTTAATAAACTAGGAGCACCTGCGAGCCGCATCATAAAACCTCAAAGAAACTGACGTTTCCTTTTTAAGGGCAACTGAGCATGACGACCGTCCATTATCTTTAACAAATTAACTACGAAAAAATCTTAAATTTTTTTTTATGTCTCAAGAATAAAAAAAAAGGAAAATTAATTTTATGGGCTTAAAACTTAATTTATAAAAAGAAGCCCGTAAATAAATTTCAAAAATAATGACACTAAAAAAAAAAAAAAAAAAATTTTGCCATACTAATTTTCAAGAATTTCTAACTGACGAATGCTTGGGTTTGGAAAATTATCAACGAGATTCTATTATATTTATGATAATAATGTAAATGAAATAAAATGCTACGAATTTTGTAAATTAATATTTTAAGTATATTAATTATAACTTGCTGGTAAACACCACAGAAAAACTAGTCACAATGTAAAGTCTGCAGTTACGTAATTTATAGCCAATATTTTAATTGAACGATTAATAATGGAGTCAATGTGGCAGGAGTAATCTACTAATGAATTGTAAAATTATATTCAACTACTTCATATCTGCATAATTTTAATTGTACGACTCTCAAAAGCCTGTATTTAATACATTCAAAATTGCCGCATTTTCGCTTTTAAATTTCATTAATAACCTATTATCCAATTACCAAATTGATCCAAAGAAAAATGTGTGCCATTTTAAGTTTATTGAAATTTTTTATAAAATTCTTCAATCAAAAAAAAAAAAAAAAAATAATAATAATCTCTTTAAGTTAGAAGTGCAATTAAATTACACCGAAAGAAAAACGAAAGAAGTTGATTATCTAATTTCTGTAATGAGATTTTTCGGCTTCATTCCAAAAGAAGAGGAACAAAATTTTGCTAATCCAAAGTTAACAGTAGTGGGATAAATACTCACTTTCATGAGTTTTTGAATGAAGAAACCCCTTTCTTTACACGAAGACTCTAGAGAGTCGTTGTTATATACAGTTGGAAAGAAAAATCCAAGTAGCCAGAAGGCTACTGTGAAATTTCATGACGCAGTAACGATAAGTGTAAGTATGCGAAAGCATCGTTAGTACTATTGCCGGGCACAAGCAATAATCGTAGTCGCACCAATGTAATCCACTAGGGGGCTGCTAACTACTAATTGCTGCCCACGATAATTCTAACGAAATTCGAAACATGGATTTTTTACATTGCAATTTTCTATATTAAAAGATATTTTAATAATTTCTAATAAAACTTTTTAAAAAATTATTTCAATTTTATATCCTATTTCGCGATTTATATAGATAATATTTCATGGCATTATTTCCCATGACTTTATTACCACCAAATTTCATTATTATCGAATCACACAAATTGATCACTTCCATTCTATATTACGCGATTTTATATCCAAATCGGTTTGTACCAATTTTATTGCTGCAGTTTAACAGCCGCTGCGATGGACATTAAAATAATTTTTACTGTGTTCACTTTTTTAGCGGCTAGATTAATATTTTTGTTGAGAAATTTGTTGTCGTTATTTTTTTTTTTTTTTTATTATTTGAAAACAGAATTTTCATTTTGTTGAGTAATAAACTGGAGGGATGAAAGTGAGTAATTTTTTCCTTAATGCTATTCGCGCCCTAAATCTGTAGAATTTATCACACTGCATGCGAAGGATCTTATTCGTCATGATAGCTTTGGCCGCAGGGGTATATAAGCAATTCTTGGAGAATGCGATTACCTTCCGCAGTAACGCCAAGGGATGAAGGCCATAACTGGGGACGACGCAGAAGTAAATGCCTTTGCTGTAAGCAGCAAAGACCGAGAGAAAAGCAGAGATAAAAAGATGATTAATTTTTCACTTCTGTCTCTTTCTTCACTCTTTCCCCCCCTCCCACAACCTCACACTTTTGTCTTTTGATTCAGCTTTCCACTTAAAATTTATTCTTCTAGAAAATGTGTTTGAACTTCTTTCAAGAATATTGTCCTCTTTATATATACATACTACAAATTATGTCATTCAACATTAATTATTCAATAAATGTCAATTAGTAATATTGCCTTTTTGCCGGGGAAAAAAAATATATTTAAAGAAACTAAATCTCGTGTGAAATATTGAATTACTTTTTGTCACCAAAAAATATTGGTGTAACTTATTATTTGGAAATATTGATAAAAAAAAAGAAGAGGAGGAGGAAAAAAAGGATAAATTTCTTCGGATGAAAATGTTCACACGAGCGGCACTGAAAGTTCGACACGCTGATTCACCAACTGCTTGAAATTCCTAAAGTTCTCCAATCTGTTTCAACGAACTTCTGCTTGAAAACCTTCTTGAATTTTGATGCAGTTGATACTTATAGAAGTGCACTGCGATTTGTATAAAGTTAAAAAATCACTTCCGTCCCTCAAAAAGAGAAATATATTGACTAGTGAAGGAAAATGGAATTTTTCAAATCGAAAGAATACGAAAAAAAAAATAATAATAACAAGTAGAAAAGTGAAACTAATGTTTATACAAAGTAGTCGAATTTTGCAAATTAAAGTTTACAAAACAAAAAAAGATCCATTTTACCAATTATGTGACCTAATTTTGTGGAATCCGTGAACTAATTTCATGAATTCCGTAACCTGGTTTCGCGAATTCTGTGACTTAATCTTGCGAATTCCGTTATATAATTTCTCGAATTTCGTGATCTAATTTTGCAAATTCCGCAACCTAGTTTCGCTAATTCCGTGATATAATTTCGCGAATTCCGCGACTTAGTTTTCCCAATTCCGTGAACTAATTTCGCAAATTCCGCGACCTACTTTCGTAGATTCTGTAACCTAATTTCGTGAATTCTGTGATTTAATTTCGCGGATTCCGTGACTTAATCTTGCGAATTCTGTGATATAATTTCGCGTATTCCCCGACCTAGTTCCGCTAATTCCGCGACCTAGTTTGTTGGATTCTGTGACCTAATTTCGCGGATTCTGTGACTTAATTTCGTGAATTCTGTGATTTAATTTCGTGAAAACCGTGACCTAGTTTCGCGGATTCTGTGACTTAATATTGCGAATTTCGTGATCTAATTTTGCAAATTCCGCAACCTAGTTTCGCTAATTCTGTGATATAATTTCGCGACTTAGTTTTCCCAATTCCGTGAACTAATTTCGCAAATTCCGCGACCTAGTTTCGTGGATTCTGTAACCTAATTTCGTGAATTCTGTGATTTAATTTCGCGGATTCCGTGACTTAATCTTGCGAATTCTGTGATATAATTTCGCGAATTCCCCGACCTACTTCCGCTAATTCCGCGACCTAGTTTGTTGGATTCTGTGACCTAATTTCATCAATTCCGTGACCTAATTTCGCGGATTCTGTGACTTAATTTCGTGAATTCTGTGATTTAATTTCGCGAATTCCGCGACTTAGTTTTTCCAATTCCGTGATCTGATTTCGCGAATTCCGATTCGTGACAAGATTGCCTGATCAGTGCAACATTTTTCCATCAAACATTATTCAAAAAAAAAAAAAAAAAAAAAAAAAATTTCAATTAAGAAGTGAAAATCGATTTTAATCAAACATCAATTTGTGTCGTGATTTTTCATCTCTGAAAATTCTATAGTATAAAAAGTTGCAGCTTGCATTTTGTGAATTCACGAACAATTTCTCACGTTCCTGCGATCAGAATAAGAAACGAGGAAGAATATTTCCCTTATCGAAGTGGTGGAAAAAGGAAGAAAGAAGCTTGTCGAAATATATCTGAGAATCTCAATGGTTTAAGGGGGAGGGATAGAAGGCGAGATGGTGCCGATTAAAAATGTATATGGAGCGTGTGCTAAGCAGCAGGCACTTCTGAGTTCTTCAGGTCTGTATTCTGTATTGGTGAGAAAGAGGGGAGCGGATAGGAGGGGGTAAAACTCCAAGCAAGAAGAGTAAAGCTCGATGTGCCGAGGGCTTTGGGATGGGAACTTGAAAGGCAGGCCTGAATATTCTGAGAATGCCTGGTAAGCGCCTCTGAAGCACCATCCCTTCGGAGCTTGCGTTCCTAATCGCACTAGTGTCATCTATATTATTAGGTAGCTAGTACACGAGTAAGCATAATGTATGTAAATTCCTTTTCCACATGTTTCATTATTACTAACCTAAGAGAATCACAATACAAAAGGAAATTCTAAAGCACAAATAATAGCATTATATTTATTTTATTTTGACTATTCTATTTTTAATAGCATTCATCTGAAACACTTTAAAAATATTTTATTGAAAATGGAAATAATTCTCTTTTTTTCAATTATTCCGAAATTGGAGAATTGTTTTTCTCATGAAAGAAAAGAAATAGACTACAGTGAAAAATTGAAAAATGAATATATGGAGGTTTCATAATGAATTAATGGGATTTAGTATTCCTTTTAGTGAATGAGACACGGTTTGTATATAATCGTATACAACTACATTAGATAAATGGATTATGTGAAGTAATCTCATTAGCACGACACGGAGGAGAAGAAGAGAATGCAGGAAAGGTTCCAAACGCGACTTTGCAATTACCTCGATACCAGACTTAGAAATTTCCAGACAATACCTATGTTCTATGTCCCTTTGTTTACAAAATCTGATAAGCCTTGCCCGAAAATCCTACAGCTTTCAAAGCAAACTCGCGAATCCTGTGCCCTATAACTACTTCACTACCATTATAGTTACATCTTAATTCACCAAAGTGGCTTTAGATGATTTATTTCTCATAATAGGTTTCAAGGTCAAAGACTGTTAATAGATTTAAAAATTTCATATTAGTGTAAGGGAATGTAGTTATAAGTGGACCACTCTGCAAAATACTTTTTAATGAAAATGCCCACCTATTATAATAAACATTTTTATTCACAGATTTATTTTACATTAAAAAACTAGGAAATGATCCACTCATGACTACATTCACCTACTAAACAAACGATAAATTTTTAGCGCTAATTGTTTAATCCTTAATGTAAATAAAAGTTAAATAAATTTTTTGCTGTTGTTTTTTTCTTTCATTGGTGGGTATTGTCATTCGAAATGCTTTTGAAATTTATTTCAAAGAGGAAAAAAGGCGAGTGGTTTGCATTTTTATTCAGTGTAATATATCAGCTTTAGTAGTAATAGAGTTTGTCGTTTGTAAAGTAGAATGTTTGCTTTTGAAGTGTCATTTAGTGGGGGTTCGGTAAACAGAAAAGAATAATGAAAACTCGGTCAGAAGTCGGGTCGTTGAGAGGAAAAACCGAGGGCGAGAGAGAGAGACAGAGAGAAAAAAAAAGAGATAAAGAGAGTTGAGTTTCTCAGTTGTATATTTATTTAATTAGTCAAGTAGTGTTGGACACGCAGAGTTGAGAGATATTACAGATAGATTGCGCGCAGTACCCCCCGCGGACTCGCTAATTAAACTCTGTACGAACTCTAGGAAGTCGAGTAGATGACGTAAATGTCGTTGGACAAACTCTTCGTCATGAAATTCATCCTCGAAAACTACCACTCACTGTTTTCTTCTTTTAATTCTATTTTCTTTATTAAGTCCTCATTAAGTGCTTCAGAAAAAAATGAATTAAAATTTTTTTTTTAAAGCCTATTATTAAAACAAAGCTCTATTTTCACTCTATTGATTTCAGATACCTA